TTCAAACTGTTTCTTGCTAGCGTATAGAACAAAACTGACTTGTGCATGATGATCTTAGAAGTCCTGGTGCTTTTGAGTTTACATAGTATGCATTATTTGGAAACTTGAATTTTTGTGTTCAACATTCCATAAGAATTATCCATGGTAGGGCCGGCCTGATAGCTCAGTGGACTAAAGCACCTGCTTAGGTAGAGCACAGTGGCTGGGGTTCATTCCCCAGAGTGCCGTGCCAGCCCTGCCCCTGGGGTGCACTAAGTGACTGGGTATGGTGGCGCACATCTGTAATCCCAGAACTGAGGAGGCTGAAAACAGGAGAATCACTATGAGTCTGATCTGTGTACTGAGACCCTGTAGACCCTGTACTAAACATAAAAAAAAAAAAAAAAGAATTATCCATGGTGCCAAACATAACTAGTTCATCCATGTTTTGCTTCTTGTAGGGTATTCTACATACAAAGATCTCGCGATTTATCTCTTCTCCTAGTTGGGCTATTTCCTGTCTTTCACAGTGCAGCATGCGGAGGGGCATGGTTCTGGGCCAGGGCTGCACAGCTATCTGTGCAAGCCTTTTATCGCTATCAGAAGCAAGGTCCACCTCCACAGATAGTGATTCCTTTGATCTGGTATTGGATGTCAGCATTTTTTTAAAGATCCTTAATGTTCAGTCTGAGGAGAATCACTATTCTAGAACATAGACTTTAGAGTAGACTACCAAGTATGTCCACTTTCAGTTTTATTCCATACACAGTTTTCCAGTCTGACTGTATTATACCAGCATCAGCAGCAGTACACGTGGTCCTTTGCTCCAACACTTGGCATTGTAAGACTTCTGCTGTTGTTCTGAGATGAAATCTCACTATGTAACTCAGACTGATCTTGAACTCAAAAACCTCCTGCCTCAGCTTCCTGAGAGAGGGATTACAGTAGTCCCTCGCTATTTCACAGCTCCACTTTGGCAGTCTTACTGTTTCATGGGTTTTCAAAAAAACATTAATTTAAATTATTTATCACGTGTTCTTTGCTATATCATGGGATTTTGCAGTACTGTACAGTATACTATGTTTTAAAAATTACCTAGATTTACAAGTCTAGAAAATGGTTAAGAACATTAGAAGTGTTTTTAATTTTAATTTTAATTTTTATTTTTGGCAGAACCAGGGATTGAACTCAGGCCCTTGTGCTTGCCAGGGAAGCACTTATTCCCCTGAGCCATCTCCCTGACCCCCTAGAAGTGTTTTTAAAAATGTGAGAAAGGTTTATAAGAGTGTAGGAAGGGCTTATAAAGTCTTTTTTTTTTTGAACCGGGGATTGAACTTAGGCCCTTGCGCTTACCAGGGGAGCGCTTATTCCACTGAGCCATCTCCCCGGCCCCAAAGTCTTAAGATATATATAAACACTAAAAAATATATAATGTTGCTACTTCGATATTTTCACTTATTGTTGAGGTGTCTGGAAGGTAGCCTCCGGGATAAGTGGAGGACCACTGTATAGGTGTGCCCCACTACATCTTCTGACACTGTCAAACTTTTAAATTTTACCACTTGATTGCTGACATAACATGATCTGACTGATATTATTTCTACTTATGATTAATAATTAGATTAAATTTTTTTGAGACAGGGTCTTGCTATGTAGTCCAGACTGGCCTTGAGCACTCTATGTAGCCCAGGGTAGACTAGAACTCCTGCCTCATCTGCCTGAGTGCTGGGATTACACCTGTGTACCACCATGCCAGCCTTGAACATCTTTTTTGTTCTTTCTGTTTTTGTTTTGTTTTCAGACTGGGAATGAACCCAGGGATCCTAAACATAAACACTACCACTAACCTACATCTTCGACTATCTTTTCATTTATTTATTTATTTATATTTTCAAAATTTTATTTGTTTATGTATGTATTTATTTAGTGGTACTGGCAATTGAAGCCAGGACGTACACAATGAACTCCATCCCCAGCCCATTTTAAGAAAAACCTGCTTTTAAATTTTGAGACAAAAGGGGCTGGGGAGATAGCTCAATAGAACAAGTGCTTGCCTAGCAAGTGCAAAGGCCTGAGTTCAATCCCTGGTTCTAAAAAAAAAACTGAGACAAGGTCTTACTAAATTGCTAAGTTACCATATCTGGGCCTGGAAGCTTCTGCCTAAACCTCCCAAAGTGCTAAGATTGCAGGTATGCTGCACCAGGCCTGGCTCTTTTAATATTTATTGACCATTCTTGCTTCCTCTTTCGTCCAATGCCTATTTATATCTTGTGCGGATATCCACATATGTAGTCTGCATGTGAATAGTTTGCAAATATCTTCTAGCTTGGTGCTTGTTCAGAATTTTATTAGTGTTTTAATTAACAGAAGTTTTTATTTTATTGTGGATGCATTTTTAAATCTTTTCCTTTGCAAACTGCTTTGATATTATGGAAAATGATCTTGAAGTAATCAAAATATTCTTTTGGT